ATCGGAATTACAGTTGAGACACACAAATGAGATCTTATCTCCTATTGCACATTTTACATGTGCTCACATTTTGCACATTACATATATATCTTGCATTCACTCCTCGTTTGAATTTTCATAAGATTCCCCACAAGCTAAACAAAACCATTATTCGAGTTCAGATTCTGAATCAGATTTTAAAACTTTCTTTTTTACTCATTCTACTATGATAAATCAGTAAGGGGTATGTTGTAACTTGTAACTGCAAGGTTTTTTGAAATAACGGTTATAAAAAAATTTCTCTTATTTGGTATAAAATTACAGTCAACAAAATCGAAGTAAACAAATGCTAAATGTATTCGAATGAATAAAAAACTGCTAAATCAACAATAATCAATTTTGTATAAACAAAAAACAGTAAATTGCCTGGTCTTATTGGAGCGCCTACACAGCACCGCGGGATACTGATCGCTTTCATATGATAGAACGGGTATTTACGTAATAGTATAGGTAAAAAAAGCTTGTTACTACATGCACCTGTTTCAGCTAGCCCCTGCTCCCCTACTACTTATTTCAGAAATACCCTAGTCTTTCGAGGTTGCATTTTGTGATCAAGTATATGTTGTACAGTACCTAGTATACAAAGGAAAAAATAAAATAAATTTCTACAAACGAGGAAATCTCTTCAGCAGTGAGCAACATGATTCAACCTGGTTTCGTAGGTATACGAGGGTGGATTGATAAGTTTCCGGCCTAACCAAGAGATGACGCCACTAGGCCTACCTTGAGGTGACATTCTATAGTACCATCCTTGGATAGCTTGTAGCTATAGTTTCAGCCCGATCTCCTTGCTAGTGTAGGTTTGACAGCACGCTGAACAAGACGCCTCTGTGGTTTTCGTAAAAATGGAAAAGCAGGAAAATCGTGCTGTCATCAAATACTTTTATTTGAAGGGGTTAACGCCGAAGGAAATTAAAAAAGAGATGGACTCAACACTGGGGACATCCTCCCCGTCATATTCAACCGTTAAGCAGTGGGTTTCCGAGTTTAAAAAGGGTCGTGTGAGCACCTCTGATGGGCCTCGCTCAGGACGCCCCGTTGAGGTCACAACTCCAGATATGATCGAAAAAATTCATCAAATAGTGCTGGGAGACCGCAGATTGAAAGTGCGTGAGATAGCTGAGACCTGTAAGATGTCATATGAACGTGTGCAACATATTTTGCACCAACATTTGCATATGGAAAAGCTCTGTGCAAGATGGGTGCCGCGTTTGCTAACAGTCGACCAAAAATTGATTCGAAAAAACATTTCTACCGCAAATTTGTCATTGTATAAGCGTAATCCAAGCGAATTTTTGCGTCGATTCGTAACCGTTGACGAAACGTGGGTCCACCACTACACTCCTGAAACCAAAGAACAGTCTAAACAGTGGATTGGACCAGGGGAACCAACTCCAAAGAAGGCAAAAACAATTTTTTCGGCGAACAAGGTTATGGCTACTGTTTTTTGGGATGCAAGAGGTATTATATACATTGATTACCTTGCAAAGGGTAATACTATCACTGGTCAATACTACGCAGACTTATTGCAACGTTTGAGCCACGAGGTGAAAATTAAACGACCTCATCTGGCGAAGAAAAAAATCTTGTTTCATCACGATAACGCACCAGCGCACACGTCAATCGTTGCGACGGCTAAAATCAACGATCTAAAGTTTGAATTGATGCCGCACCCTCCTTACTCTCCAGACCTAGCCCCGAGTGACTATTTTCTGTTCCCTAATCTCAAAAAATGGCTTGGCGGTAAGAGATTTGCGGACAATGAAGAAGTAATCGAAGCTGTAAATGGTTATTTTGAGGAGCTTGACGAATCAGTCTATAGAGATGGCATTAATAGACTGGAACACCGCTATGAGAAATGTATCAGCCTTGGAGGAGATTATGTTGAGAAATAAAAAAAAAAAATTTTTAAAAACCTTGTTTTTCTTGGTCAGGCCGGAAACTTATCAATCCACCCTCGTATTGCGTGAAGAATTATCGTTTCAGTTCCTTTTCCTATTTTACATGCCAGTAAACAAAACGAAGGACGTGACCACAGCACTCATTCCGTCATTCGATTAAGCAGTAGGCTAATATAGCACAGGGTACGAAACGAGAATTCGTTGGGAGCAATTTATGTTCACGTCACGAAACTGGGATAAAATTGGTCAAAGAAGGTAAAATTTAATTAAGGTATACAAAACAAGAATACGCGAAGCAAAATGTATGTTCGTTCTTTCAGGAGACTGTTTTTGGTAACTATTGATGTGTCTTTTTTAGTTTGTTTACTTACTACAGTCTCTATTATTATCCTTACGGTTAAAGAATTAAAAATTCAAATAACAGACTGTAGATATCTCATTGTCTGCTCAAAAGTGAGAAAAGATGTCTTGTCCCTAAAGCACGCCTGGACTCATCAGTAAGGATAACGACGTGCTCTGTGCCTTAGACATCTGGAGACCTGTGGGGTGTGGCGCGAACTGGCGCGAAACAAACGGGTCGCCACATTACTCTCCACACAGTTTCGCTGAGGGCGAAGGAGGAGAGGCGATACCGAAGATGTCAAGTCGGAAGGCGAGAAAAGCAAGGTTAAGGAGTCGTCATGGATCTTCGAATTCTCCACGCTCTTTTTTGAGACGCGTGGCGCGTTTCCATGCGTTTGTTGAAAGACGCGGACCATGTTGCCGTGCGTGTGTTGCGAGACGCGGGGCGTGTTGCCGTGCGTGTATGCGATGATCGTCGAGATGCGATGCGAGAAGTTTGAGCGAGCTGCGTTTGTGGGATTCGCAGTGTATGCTTGTATCCAGCGTGGAGGATGTGAAGATAATAGAGAGGCTGTGTTTTTTATTCGTTGTCGGGGTCACCAATGTAGATATGTCGTTGTCTACTGAAAAGTCAGAAAAGGTGTTTCGTCCCTAAAGCACGCCCTGGCTCATCGATGAGGCTGACGATGTGCTCTCTGCCTTAGACATCTCGAGACCTTTGGGATGTGACGTGAAATAGCACGAGACAGGCGGGTCGCCGCAAGACAATGCACACAATCGCCGATGATCTCGTAGCCAAAACATTTACCGAAAATTAATACACCTATGCATTATTGGAACTCTTTAACGTGGTACAAATACATTTCTAAAAGGTGCATCTCACACTATTGGCCTTACGAGTGCTTCTAGACCATAGCAACCAATAATCTTTTAACATTTTTGCGACCTGCGATATTCATTATAGTTTTACAAAATCAATGAAATTGTGCGCAGAGGTCATTTTATAAACATTCGGATGATTGCTTAGACTGCAAACGCCGATCAAAAAACGGCCAGAAAAATTTACATGACCAATTGAACATGAAGAAAGTCTATGCGTAGTTGGTCCCAAAAAATTTGACACTCGACCAAAAGCTCGTCCGTCAACAGATTTGTCAGATTTTCTTGAAGAGCCTGAATGGATAGAAAATATCATCATTTGCGATGAAACATGGATATTCCAGTAGAATATTGAAACAAAGCTGCAATCCATGCACTGAAAAATTCTTGCATCGCAAAAGAATGAAAAAATCACGGATGCCGGAATCAAAATTTAAAGCCATGCTCATAGTTTTTTTCGACATTAACGGCGTCATGTTGACTGAATAGGTTCTAGAGGATCTAACTGCAAACGAAACTTACTATTTGAATGTTTTGATATCATTGCGGGAGGGAGTTCGTAAGAAACGACCGGAGAAAAACAAGTCGTGGATCAGGACAATGCACCTGCCCATAACGCGCTGTCTGTGAAGTGTTATTTAGATGCTAGAGGCACTTCAGAGGTTTAGACCATTGCTTAGCATTCGGGAGGACGCCGGTTCGATTCCGGGTCCGCCTGCCTTGGTCCAAGTTTTTCTGTGGTTTCCTTGGATCACTTAGGCAAATGCTGAGGCAGTAATATTCCACAGATAATCTTTCATTCT